TCACGCACCGCGATGGTTACTATTATCGAGGGTCGTGTCGTGCGCCGCGACAGATTCATGGACAGATATGTCCCCCATGGGTCCCGGACTAAGAGACAGCGGGTGTGTCTCACTAGGTCAGACATGCATCATTATACTTGACATTGCATTACACAAACTTATCATTGGTGAACTTGATATTGTGTTTTGCTGATCTTGTGATTGCCTTTCTGCGGAATTTGTGATTGATAATACTGAGCTTGTTACTGAGGATATGTAATTTGATAAAGTGTGGTTGTGGAGGATATGCATGTAATTTGTATAAGTGTCGTTGTAGAGTTACGTGCTATGTAAATATGAACTGTTAGGTTAGACTGAATTTTATGCAAGCTGTAGTTGTGGAGGTTCGGTTAGGGAGGTAGGGGTACCCGTATTTCATTCCCTTAGTTTGTGTTTAGACGTTTACTTGCTGAGTACCGTGTGGTTTGGTACTCACCCCTTGCTTCTACAAATTTTTGTAGGTTATGAGCCTGGATTTTTGTTGTACTTGTCATTCTCTTCTTTTCCGAGGCTTCTTGGAGATTTGTCAGGTAGCTGTTTCCATCGCAGCAGACTTTCTTCTCCTAATTATGATCTTGTTCTATTCTAGAAACAAGTTCATTTGAGACTTGAGTTTTCTTTTGAATCATTTGTAATACTTTAGAGGCTTGTACATGTGACTACCAGGTTTTGGGGGTTTTATTAAGTTACTTATATTTTACTTCCGCACTTTATTGTGATGGTTTTGTTTTAGGCTGACTTGTCTTGGTGGGATAAGACGAGTGCCAAAAAGTAGTTATTTTCCTAATAGACACCATTTTTCGAAAAGTTGTTATTTTTTCCAAAAGACACAACTTTTTGGATAAAATGGGTCTAAACAAATTTCACTGAACAGACATGTTCCTTGCTGAAAATGGCTATAAAAGGAAGTCAATTTTTGATTTTTTAAACACTGAAAATTTTTTCTTTCTCTGCATTTATTTTTCTCTCAAATAAAATCAAAGTGTCGATTGACTGAGTCTGTGTGACTTGTTGATGTTCTTAAGTTCGTTGAAGTTAAAGAACTTTGAGGTACCGCTATTTCTTTAACAGGTTTAATCCGTTTTATCTTGGAGAAATTAATCCATAACCCTTGGTACAGTGAGTGGATTAAATTTCTTAAGGACACATAGTATTTTTTGTGGACTCGGATTAATTCTTGTATTTTATATTTTTTCTGCTTCATCTTATTTCTGTATTTGAGGTTTCTGGAGATTAAAACCTTTATGGTTTTCTACTCTGCTTGAATTTTTAAAATTCATTCGATTGACGATTAAAAGAACATAAAAACTTTATCGTTAAATCAGAAACAGTTTGTGTAAAGATTTGTTCTTTACTGTTAGTATTTTAAATACTTAATTTATCTGCCATTTGTGACAGAAAAAAATGACTAATTCAAGTCAAACAAATGCTGGAACAGTAAGTGCTGCAACAACAACGGTTGCACATAATCGTTCAAATGCTGCCTTAGCACCGGCTGAGAAACCTGCAAAGTTTTCTGGAGTCGACTTTAAGAGATGACAGCAAAAGATGTTCTTCTATCTCACTAAGTTGAGTCTGCAGAAGTTCATCAATGAGAATGTTCCTGTTATGTCAGATGAAACTCCGGCTGATGAACGATTCTTGGTAACAGAAGCGTGGACACACTCAGATTTTTTGTGTAAAAAATTATATTTTGAGTGGTCTGCAAGATGATCTGTACAATGTGTATAGCAATACCAAAACCTCAAAAGAACTCTGGGATGCTTTAGAAAAGAAGTACAAAACAGAAGATGCCGGAATGAAGAAATTTATTGTGGCAAAATTTCTGGACTATAAGATGATAGACAATAAGACTGTCGTCACCCAAGTTCAAGAATTGCAGGTCATAATCCATGATCTCCTTGCTGAAGGTATAAATTTATTTAATACCTATGTTAGAAATATTAAGTTTTCTTTTAATACTCACATAACCTTTAATGTAGGATTGATTGTGAATGATGCTTTTCAAGTGGCTGCATTTATTGAAAAGTTACCTCCATTTTGAAAGGACTTTAAAAACTACTTGAAACACAAACGCAAGGAGGTGGCTGTTGAAAATCTCATAGTAAGGTTGAGAATCGAAGAGGATAATAAGGCTGCAGAAAAGAGGTCACTTGGTAATTCAGTAATATCTGGAGTAAATTTTGTTGAAGAAAATCCCACAAAATTAAAGAAAAGAAAGAAAGCATCTGGTCCAAAAAGCAATCCTCCTAAGAAGAAATTCAATGGAAACTGCTTTAATTGTGGTAAACATGGTCATAGGGCTAATGAATGCCGGGGTCTTAAGAAGGACAAGAAAAAGAAGGATCAAGCAAACTTGGCTGAATCCAAAGGAGAAATGGACGATCTTTGTGCAATGCTTTTAGAATGTAACTTGGTTGGAAATCCAAGAGAATGGTGGATAGATTCTGGTGCCTCATGTCATGTTTGTTCCAACAAAGAATTATTTTCATCATATACTCCAGCACTTACAGATAAAAAATTATTTATGGCAAACTCCGTTGTTGCAAAGGTGGAAGGAACTGGAAAAGTCCTATTAAAGATGACATCAGGCAAGGTGGTGACTTTGAATAGGGTCTCATATGTTCCAGAATTGAGAATGAATTTAGTTTCAATTCTAGTTCTTACCAAGAATGGATTTAAATGTGTATTTGTTTCTGATAAAGTAGTAGTAAGCAAAAATGATATGTATGTAGGAAAAGGCTACCTTAGTGATGACCTTTTCAAACTCAATGTAATTGCAGTTGATATGAATAAAGATTTTGCTTCTTCTTACTTGCTTGAGTCTAAATGTTTATGGCATGAACGTTTGGGACACGTTAATAACAAAACCTTGCGAAAACTGATTAACTTAAAATATTTTGCCAAAATTTGAGTGCAATAAATCAAAATGTCAAATTTGTGTTGAATCTAAGTATGCTAAGCATTCTTATAAATCCGTTGAAAGGAATTCACATCCTTTAGAATTGATTCACACTGATATTTGTGACATGAAGTCAACACCATCACATGGTATTTCATAACTTTTATTGATGATTGCACTAGATATTGTTATGTTTATTTGCTAAATAGTAAGGATGAGGCAATAGATGCATTTAAGAAATATAAAACTGAAGTTGAAAATCAGTTAGATAAAAAGATCAAAATGATCAGAAGTGATAGAGGTGGAGAATACGAATCTCCATTTGCAGAAATATGTTTAGAAAATGGAATAATCCATCAAACTACTGCTCCCTACACTCCTCAGTCTAATGGAATTGCAGAAAGAAAAAATCAAACTTTAAAAGAAATGATGAATGCATTACTTATAGTTCAGGTTTACCACAAAACTTGTGGGGGGAAGCTATCCTTACAGCAAATCAGATACTTAACAGAGTGCCTCACTCAAAGACAAATGTAATTCCATATGAGAAATGGAAAGGTAGAAAACCCAATTTGAAATATTTCAAAGTGTGGGGGTGTCTAGCCAAAGTCCAAGTTCCTATACCTAAGAGGGTAAAAATAGGACCTAAGACTGTGGATTGTGTATTCATTGGATATGCCACAAACAGTAAGACATGTCAATTTTTGGTTCATAAGTCCGAACATCCGGATATTCATGATAATACGGTAATGGAATCAGATAGTGCTGAATTTTTTGAACATATCTATCCGTATAAAACTAGACTTGAGTAATCTAGTGGGGGATCTAAGCAACCCAGAGAAGAACCGAAAGAGAATAAAAAAAATGAAGAAAGTCCAAGACGCAGTAAACGTCAAAAGACATCTACTTCATTTGGATAAGATTTTGTAACATTTCTTCTTGAAAATGAGCCTCAAACATTCAAGGAAGCAATGTTGTCTAGCGACTCAACCTCTTAGAAGGAGGCTGTTAATAGTGAAATGGAATCAATCTTAAGCAATCATACTTGGGAGTTGGTTGATCTTCCTCCAGGGAACAAACCCTTGGGTTCAAAATGGATCTTTAAAAGGAAGATGAAAGACGATGGAACTATTGACAAATAAAAAGCAAGACTTGTTGTCAAAGGTTTTAGACAAAAAAAAAGGTCTTGATTATTTTGACACATACTCGCCAGTGACTAGGATTACATCAATTCGGATGTTAATTGCACTAGCTGTAGTATACGGTCTTGAAATTCATCAAATGGATGTGAAAACAGCCTTCTTAAATGGAGAGCTTAAAGAGGAAATTTACATAGAACAGCCTGAGGGTTTTGTAGTTCCTGGTAAAGAAAAGAAAGTGTGCAAACTTATTAAGTCACTTTATGGGCTAAAACAAGCACCAAAACAATGACATGCAAAGTTTGATCAAACCATGTTGTCAAATGGATTTAAGATCAATGAATGTGATAAATGTGTTTACATTAAAGATACTCCAAATCAGGAAGTTATTTTATGCCTATTGTTGACACCCAATTTTGACCGACCTTTGACCCTTTTTAGGAATACTATTAGATTAAATACGTATTTTAAACTTTAAAATTTTTAGTCGACTTTGCTTGAAAATTATATATTTTAGTATGTTCTACTTTATAAAATTATCGTATATATTTTTAAAATATTTTAAAATTATTAACGAATTTCAAATGTTTCAAAGTTAAATGATTTTTACACTTTCCTTAAAATTATTTAAATTCTAGCCTATTTTATTCTAATTTCTTTCAATTCTAGCCACTTGAATTAGAGTTTTATTTCATTCATAGCCATCTCTTCCTTTCAATTCTAGCCAATTTTAATTGCAATTTTAGTCATTCCGTACCTAACTCATCTAATTTCAAGAAGTCATCTTTTGATCTCATCCTTCCATTTTAATTAATTCCTAGATCTAATCCTAACCCCTCATCTCTTCTAAAATCAATGGTCCAGATTTAATCTACATATTATAACCTAAAAGACCCTAATCCCTAAAATAATTCTGATTCTCTTCTCCCTCCCTTTTTCAGCCGCCTCTCCCCTCTCTCTCTCTCTCTCCAGCCCGGCCCCCTCTCTCCTCGCCACTTCCGGTGAAAGCCACCAGAAGAACCAGCCGCCAGTCGCTCCTCTCTCTCTCTCTCTCTTCGCCACCTCTTCTTCTCCAAGCAGCCGCTCCCTTCTCTCTCCCTCTCCTCCATCTTTTCCGGCAAGGGAGACAGCCAGGAGACAAGCAACAACAGCCATGGCGGACAGCATCAGTAGCCATGACCGGCGAGGAGTCAGCAGCGGTCGCCGGCGAAAACTCCTGCGTCCGGCCAGCAGCTGCAAAAAGAGGCGAACGACCACCTCTCTCTCCTCGTCGCCTCCCTCTCGTCGCTCTCGCAAATGGCGAGCAACCAGACCCACCAGCGTGCTGCAAACAACAGCCGCCGGACGAGCAACGAGCGGCGTCAACCATCAGCCCACAGTCACCGGCAGCATGTCTCCCTCCTCTACATTCCTCTTCCTCACCCGTCTCCCCTCTCCCGTCATTCCCCTCCTCCCGCTTCTCCTCTCCCTCCCGCTCTCTCTCTCCTCCCCGTTTTCCCCTTCTTCTTCTCCTTTTCTTTTCCTCTTCTTTTGCAGAGACAGGTAGCATCTCCGACCAGCAACGTCTCGAGGAGACAGCAGCAGCAGCGTCTCGAGGAGACAGCAGCATCGACTCCGGCGAGCCTTTCCTCTTTCTTTGTTTCCAGCCAACAAGTTCGGCTAATGAACGACGTGGATTCTATACATATCTCAATATTGCGGCTGATTTTAAGATGAATTTCAACAGATCCGTCTGGGTTAGTTTCTGTTTTAGTTTTTATTATTATTTTTAATTTAGATGTTTAATTTGCCTAATGTTCTGCTTGTTTTTCAGAAATATTTTGTTATGAATATAAAACCATATTGTGATTTGCTTGATCTTATGGACTGTTCTTGTTGATTTTTCTCTTGAAAATTTGCAAAGTACATGTGTTTTAGCCATGTTGAAAACAATATTGTATGATAATCAGTTCCTGTAAGTCTGCTAAATGTGATTTGGGTATTGACATGCTAATTGTATATTGGTTTCACTTTGATTATTATTTGTTATGATAAGTCTTGTAATTTTCAATAGTAGTTGCAGATTTCTTATATCTTTTATAAATATTATTGTCATTTTAATTGATTATTTTATTTTACCTTGATTGACTTCAAATATATTCTTGGTTGTTATATCTCTGGAAAGTGATATTTAATTAAGGTAAAAAGAATTGTACTGATTTTACTCTCTACTAGTTAAGGAAAATAAGTTTAATTGATTTATTTTTCCTTGTGAATAAATACTGATTCCTTATTTGTTTGTATTATGGTAATGAATTATTTTTTTTCTGATTTGGAATAAGGAAAAGGGAATATTAATTGATTCCTTAAAAATATTTCTTTTCCTTATTTGTTCCCTCTCCTCTACTATATAAATAAGACCCCTCCTCTATTTCATGGACCATTCACTCTCAACCAAAAAAAAATTCTCTCATCACTCTCCCTCCTCTCATTGCTCTTTTGCTACTTTTAAACAACATTAATATTTCGGTGAATATTCAAGTGCTTTTCTTCGCTATTTTCCTACTTTGTTCGAGTAAAAGGTGAATCATCTTGTTTTGTTTAACAGGTTAGTATTCTTAACATTAATACTATTTTCATATTCACATATTTGTGTAAACCATTGTCTGTTTTTATATAGAATCCGTCATTAAACGATTGCATATTGTCTCACCTTAACTAACAAGTGTGATTACTTGTGTAGTTATTTAATTACTTTGACATGTTTCATATTTGAGGTTCAAGTTGAAGATTAACTGAAGAAGGATTTGTTTATTTGTTGAATGTACATATATATATATATTTTTATTTTTTCCGCTATTTTATTTATTTGAATGATGTAACAATTGTAACCCTAAAGATCATATAATAAAGTTATTTGGGGGTCGTCTAGGGGAGGGGGATTTATATGCTTACTTGCTCATTATTTTTTTTTTTAGAAATCATGCCTATAGGTTTGTCTTTAACCACCTAGATTTGATATTTGTAGGTGTTATAATCTAATCAATTTTCAATTTGCTTGACGTTTATTTAACAAGTCTTAAAAAAATAAGAACTAGAATCCATTAATTTTTTAAATGTTAAAATCAAATCCTAATAAATCTAGTAGGTTGTTAGATGTTAAAATATTATAAATTCTCATTTGTCTTATCATGTAGAAACCATGTCTAAGGTTTAATTTGTTCATACCATTTACGAAATCATGCATATATATGTTACTTTTTTTTAACACCTAGAAATCATGTCTATAGGTTTGTTAATAAGAGAATAAAATTTGTTTGTGCATATTTGAGTCCTCCCCTAAAAATAATTAATATTATTTAACTAGTAATCCCATTTGTTTTCCACATTCGTGATGCAATATTTTCTTCTTAATACTAAACTAAAATCATTTCATGCATTTAATAAATTATTTGGCTTTAAATATATTTCATCGTAAAACCTTTGCATTAATAAATTTACCATCTTAATGTTCTACTAGTTTTAGTACTTATAAAGTTTTGCAACATAATTTTCTTAAAAGTCATTATTCAATCTTCCTTTGAAATTTTGGATTGATTGTGACATTATTTTTAAAATAAAGTACTATCTCCTAACCTATCGTTAGTGGGAAAGTCAAAGGAACTATGAGGTCTAGTTCCAATTTTTAAACCGACGCATCCTCGGAAGTACCACCTACCCATGAATTTCAAAAGAATTATGTGCATTTATGTGTGCCTACGTGTGAACTAAATCTTTTAAAATCATTTTTCAAAACATAACTATTTTTTAGACCGACCTCAAATCAAAATTGTTTCTATGGTGGAGGAGCGCGATCAACAATATCGTGGCATCATTCCTATAAAGAAACAAACATTTTTTCAAAAAAAAAAAAATCATATTCAAAACTTACTCAATTTTCAAAACTTTATTTTTTGCACATATTAATTGCTTAATATTTGCCAATTTTGCCTATAACATAGTCTCGTATGTTAAATAAAAAAAAAAAAATATAAACTTGGTTGTTTATTATTGCTGTCTTCTAGCCTCGCATATTTAAATTAATAAAATAGCCTTAATTGTTTTATACTTGTTATCACTTAGCAAGCATATTAATGAATAATAATGAAGTGACCTTGATTGCTACTTGTAACCCCCACATAGATTGCATGAGATACGGCCGGGACCCACACTTGTGGACCTCGAGGGATGCCTAACACCTTCCCTCGAGGTAATTTGAACCCTTACCCAAATCTCTGGCTCATTGACCTTAGTTAGACTTAGTTAGTTTAGATAGGTGCCCTAACGCGCCTTAACTCGTTAGGTGGCGACTCCAAAGCTCAAAAATCCCAAAGGAGTTGTTAGGTCGTGCACAAAACCCGTTTTCCGTGAAAATGGGGCGCGACAGAATGGCGACTCTGCTGGGGATGTTAGGTTCTTACCATTACGTGTTAACTGCTTATTTATGTGGGGTTTATTTTATTTATTAGGTGCTTACCATGTTTTGTTGCCCTATTTATTATCTCATCTTCATGTTCCTCCCTTTCCCTTTTCCTTAATTGTTTATTATCATGTTTCACCTCTTCCCTCTCCCCTTATTTGTTTACATGTTTAATCTCGTATCCTCTTGTTTTATTTGCGTAGTTTTCATGTCTACTTTCCTTTATTTATGCTTATTTATTTATTGTTTATAAACTGTCTATATGTTACCGTTTTCCAATTTAAATGCTAAATGTTTACTGCTTTAATAAATTGGCATCCCGCTCATACTTCCCCCCAATTGGGACCCTCTTCCTTTTTTATTTTGTTCTCGTGATGTTGTGCCTTTGCACCTCTCACAACTACTCCAATCTTATACAAATACCCATTATAGAGAGTCGGCATATGCGTGGACGTAGTGGATAGTTTTACTACCGCGAAGCCACGAGCCTCTCGCATAGAATCCCTTTCAAGTCCGTGTCAAGCCAACTCTTAGAAGTCCTGGTTAAGTCATACATGCTGCATAAGACCTAGGAGGTTTGACCCTTGGTGTCAATCCATGTAATTAGTAGCCACCTTCTCGTCTGAAGGGCCCCAAAACCCTTAGACAAATTGCATATTTATGTGTCAACGTGATCATAATAATTAAATCAAGCCAACATTGCCAAAATGGAGTTTAGAAGTTGTTTGTTACTTTGTTTGCAGAGTCATGACTCACCCTCACTTTCCAAACACGCAAATGGTGGTCAAAGTTAATCCCATTTTGAAGACTTGGTGGAAAGATATACAAAAAAATCGAGAGTTAGAAGCAAATGAATTGTTAGGCGGCCTCACTGCTTTGATCTCCGTAGAGTCAGATCGTCACTTAATCAAGGCATTGTTGAAATTCTGGGACACTGAGAGGTTAGTCTTCAAGTTCAGGGATTTCGAGCTAACTCCAACAATAAAAGAAGTTGGAGGATTCATGGGTCTCGCATACAAAGAGTTGGAAATAATTGTTCCACACAAGCCAAGTCCAAGATCTTTTTTGAAGCAAATGGGCATGTGTCATAATCCAAATCTACTTTGTCTGAAAGAAGGTTGGATTTCTTTAGAGTTCTTATATTCACGCTTTGGGGATGAGGAAGGTCATCAAAACTTTCATAGAGAATTTGCTTGCTCTTCTGCAAAATGGGAAAGGTATCGTCTTAATGCATTCGCTGTCGTCCTATTAGGCTCATTGGTTTTTCCTAGAGAAGGAGGAAAGATACACACCGGCTTATGTTATGTGGTTCGTATGTTGGCTCGAGGTGGGAAAACCTTGGTCCCTATGATACTCGCAGAAATTCTAAGAGCTTTGACTGCATGCACCAAAGGCAAAAGATACTTTGAAGGGTGTAACTTTCTGCTGCAACTTTGGGCCGTCGAACATTTCTACCAAAGAGCTAATAAAGTAGACATCGTCAGATGGACTATGGGGAACAAAATTATCAACCATCCCCTAAGGATGAAACATTTTATCTCCCCTGTGGGAACAGAGGACTGGTTCACATACCTAAAGGAGCGGTCAGCCGTTGAAATCCAATGGAAGTATTATTGGTTGAAGCCACGACGTGCCATCATAAGAGGAAATGAACTTTACTTCATTGAGCTTATCGGTTTGAACGGTGTGCAACCCTACGCACCACTTCGAGTCCTTCGACAATTCGGACAGATCCAAATGATACCTCTACGATCCCACATGAGCCACTATGGATATGACTTTGGGTCAGAATTACCGCAAGTGAACACCATACTACGAAGATGGAAGAATGTGATAACTATCGATGTTCAAGAGCACCGACCCTTCTGCACACCTGAATATTATGTATGGCTTTTAGAAGATGCAGAGCATAGAGATTTAAGCGAAGGAGGTCTTCCTGGTTTTGGCGATGAAAAAGAGAGAAGATGGGCTCGCAACCTCCTCAACACTGATTATGACATTACCCTAGAAATGAAGAAGCAGATTGTGCCTAACATTGGAGAGCAACATGATTAAAGCTTTTAATTATTATTTATTTCTCTTTACTCCCCATATGTTATCCCTAGCCCTTTAGTTATCTTTAGATTGATGTAATAAACAGAAATTATTTCAATAATCGAAAGTTGTTCTATTATCTAACTCTAAACTCCAAATTGGCAAATAAGGCTTGAATTAATTATTATGCATCACTTATGTGTCGCTTAGGCCTACCTCTGGCTCAACGAGGTTCCTTGCATTTAGGGCGTTTATTTCAAAACAACGTGTTGATATTGTGATATTATCTTAACCCCTAACTCTTTTCTTTTGATTCTATTGTTTTCACATTTCCTAAGGTTGATCTGTCCTTCATCCTGGCACATACACGATCAAAAGGGACCCCCCCTTCTCCTTCTTCTCAAAGAGCAAGCTCAAACGACAAAGGAAAAATGGTTGACGACAACAGCACCACTGAAAGGGTAGAAGCTTGTGAGGGAGGACAACTTCATAGTAATCTTATCCTAAGACTCGAGCGCAAGATTTCGCAATTGGAAGAAGAGGTAGCCAACATGCGTGATTTGGCCAAGTTGTCTATCTCTCTTGGAACCCAATTTGGAGAAAACATAGACAATCCTCCTAATCAAACAGCCACGCCAGACAATCCTCCAATCCATATATCCCCACCTGAACCCATTCGTCCAAATGCCTTTCCACCACCCCACGCCCAAAATACCCAATTTCCATTTCACCACTATTACCAACATACCAAACCAACTGTCCCAGAAACAACCCCAAACACAAATATCCCACATACTTTTGAAAACAACAATCCCAATCCCATATACGTTGAAACTGCCCCTCTGACTCATGACCTCCATGAGTCAGAGTCCCATCAGAAAGACATCTTAATAAAAACCCTGACTGAGAGATTAGACAACTTGACCAACAGGGTACAACACGTGGAAGGAAACAAAAAGTTGGGAGGATTGGGCTATGAAGATCTGTGCATGCATCCTGATGTGGAACTGCCCGAAGGATACAAGCTTCCGAAGTTTGAGACGTTCAATGGCATTGGGGATCCCAAAGCCCACCTACGAATGTATTGCGACAAACTTGTAGGGGTGGGAAGAGATGAGAGGATACTCATGAAGTTGTTCATGAGGAGTCTTACTGGGGAGGCCCTATCATGGTACATTGAGCAAGACTCGCGGAAATGGATAAAATGGGTTGATATGGCAACTGACTTCATGAATAGGTTTGGTTTCAATATTGAAAATGCGCCTGATTGGTTTTACATTCAGAACCTAAAGAAGAAACCGAGTGAATCCTTCAGAGAATATGCCATAAGATGGAGGTCTGAGGCGGCTAGGGCCAGACCCCCTATGGAAGAATCTCAAATGAAAGACTATTTCATCCGTGCCCAAGAACTACAATACTATGACCGAATGATGCTGGTGGCTGAAAAGAGTTTCGCTGAAATCATCAAACTAGGCGAAAGAATTGAAGAAG